AAAAAAGATTTGGAAAAAATATAGTTAGCGATATAATAGATGAACATTTTATTTATATTCCTCTGTATTGCAATAATTTAGTTGATAACTGTAACAAAGATCAGAAATCCAATATGACACAAAAACTAAATGGTGATCCCAAAAGGTAACTTTTTTCTGACTCTTGATGGCTATGACCTAATTTCCATAAATGGTATGTGAGCCCTGAGCACTTTTTTACTATTAGAAATGGAAATGGTTAGTTTAATGAAGCCCCTACACTTTTCTGAAATTACAGTCTTTCAGGTACATGTAACTATGTTTTTAACAAAAAAATTAGAATTTTGAACTGTCCACCAAGACAAATATTTTATACATTTAGTGGTGCATTTTCAGATTTTAAATTTTTATATTTTTGTTTTATCTCGATAATTGATTTGTTAACTAATTCCATATCTTCCACTGATTTCTGCAGGTGTATCCTTTGTATTATTTTTTTAAATATAGGCATATAAGTTAATATTTATTTGTACATTCCTTTCAAAACATTTCTATTTGTATTTATAAAGATGAATTTGTTATGTCGATGTGACTTGAATAAAATTGATTTATGAAATTGTAATGTAAGAAGGAAGGATATGGAATCTAATCTGGAGCCTAATAGATTTTCATTTCAAGTGTTTACCTATGAATTTTCTTACATGAGACTAGTAGTAGCTACACACATTGTATAAAAGGAATCAAGGTACATACATTGTAAAAAGGAATCTCATCAGGTCAGTTTAGGCATTTGGAGAGAAACGGGGAGAAAATGAACTATTCTTTTCAAATCAAAGACGTCTAGGGGTATACGTCCCTCACAAAACTTTACTGATTAAAAGTTTATTATACCCCAGCTCTGAAGGAGAGGGGGATACCGTTTACCCTTATGTGTCTGTTTAGCTGTCTGTTTGTCCGAAACAAGTTTTGGTCGCATTTTGCTCAGCAAGCTCTAATCACAGATCCTTGAAATTTTAGCAATTTCTTTGTTGAATCTTGCCTTATGGTGGAATACATTTTTGTTCAAATCCAATGTCAACTTCCTGTTCATCCACTCGTATGTCTATACACTGTACAGACAGACGTGACAAAATCAATATCCACCTCAATCTACCTATCTGGGCGCATAAAAATCAAAGGATGAATCTGCTATCGTGGCCCTCGTGGTAGTATTATCCAAAACAAATATAATGATAAAACGTTTTACTTAAAAAATCATAAAAATCAAGAATACATGTATATTTTTTAAGTAAAAAAAGTATACATTTATAAATTGTGCTACAAATATTGCATAAACAAAGTACCAATAACAATAGAAGCAGAACTTTTTAAAATGACTTTTATATGATTATTGGAGTTTTATGAAGAGACTTACTTTTACATTTGACAGCTGACTTTTACATTTTAGTGATTGGAGTTTGTCTGTGTATAAACTGTAAAAGTCAGTCGTCAATTGTAAAAGTAAGTCTCTTCATAAAACTCCATTATAATCTTTTAGAATCAAATTATAATTTACAAGAATTTTTGTCAAGCTGCCCGATAAGAAAGTGCATAAAACAAATTCACAAAACTTAAACTAGGGCATTAAAGTAAACAGTCGTGATCTTCCGTCTACATTATATTGATAAGATATCTAATCCTTGTAAAATGACGTAACTTATCTTAACCATTTGCCCATTGCAGTGCATTCAAGGTTAGTAAAAATATTTCAAGACACTACTTTTTATGATTTTATAAAATATATTTGTAAGTGCAGTATTATCAAACGGACATCAGATGAAAATAAAAATCGCTGTTTTGATAATGCTTTGATAATAATAATGACTTCTGTATGTTCTATGATCCTGCAATTACACTGGGATATGTCTCTTATGTGCCATGCTAGAATCCATTCTTAAACTGTGCTTTATGTCAATAAAAAGTTCAAGTCATTCTAGCCATTCCGGAAAGACATTAAAATAATGAAACACAACGTCTGATTTTGTTTTAATACTTTTAATAGATAAGATTGATATGTTGTTTTGAAATGACAAATTGAACGTATTGGAATTTTATGAAGAGACCTACTTTTACAATCGACGACTGACTTTTACAATTTTATACAGAAACAAACTCTAATCACTAAAATGTAAAAGTCAGCTGTCAAATGTAAAAGTAAGTCTCTTCATAAAACTCCATTACTGACTATTCATATCATCAGGTTGCTAAAAGGAGGTCTTGTTCATTGGATAATGACTTAAATAAATACTCGATCTGATATATATGCATACTCTTAAAATAGTAAAGGATTTTTTAGTTTGTAAATATTATGTAATAGATAAAAATGTTTGTTATTGGTCAATTATTTTTAAAAATATATAGTATAAGTTAATTATAAAGTCTCATTTTTTAAAATTCAAAACTAGAATTTGGATAGATATTTGATACCGAGAGCCTTATACATATTAACAAGCAAAACACTCCTTTCATGTAGTTGAATCAACGGACAATCATTACCTTGGAGGGATGCTTTAAGGTAATCATTTTTGTAAACATTTTATTTGCATACTGATAATTATAATTATGGTCACCTATATTTCAAGTAATTGTGAAAAAGACCTCTTCAGTTAAAAAAAAATGGAAAAACACTGCATAAGTTTATAAAGTATACATGTAATGTTACATTAAAAACAGTTATAAATAGATAACCAATAAGTATATGTTATACATTTTGACAAAAGTAAAATAATTAGACCGAATTTCCTCTGCATTACCATACATTGATTTTTGTTCCTGTTTATTTTCTTCGAATAATAAAATGTTAATTATTTTTAATTGATATTGAGTGTAAACTTGGTTATTTTACCCATTTATAACATTTTTTTGTTGTAACATATTATACTTTATAAAATTTCCTTCCTGTTTTCTGAAACCTAAGTAAACGTCTTCGTTAAGCAAAATAGTGAATTTTCAAGGAAAATGATTGATATTTTATTAAGAAAATAAACAGGTAACAAAATTAACAGGTGGCTCTAAATAATCCAGAGTTCTAAGCATTCAGATTTTTTTTTTAAATATTCGATTAATTGTTAATTTATAAAAATATTAATTGAAATATTCAAGAGCATATTTAAAAAGTTAATTTCTCTAAAAAGTTCTTTGAAAAAAATAATGATTTTTTCTAAAGAAAAACAAGTTTCCCCCTTAATTGCTTGCTATACATGAAACAAATAAAGAAAAACAATCACTTATTATTTATTAAAAACCTCATTGCAAACTTAAAAACAACGAAGAAAAAAATGATTTTAAAGCATCATTGAAACATATGGAGATAACGAACGATATTCAAGATCAAAAGTCCAACAAACAAAGCAAACTCTTATCTCCAAAACATCAGATGTTGGATCAGGTGCCATGGAGGAGTGAGCATCCTCTGCCGACCGGTCACACCCGACGTGTGTTTTTTTTATGATCGGAAAACAACGGAAAAAAATCCGTCGCCAATTCAGTGTATAAATAATGGACAATAAGTATGAAAAACGTCAGTCAGCATTTGACTCTATGAGAAATTGTATTTGCTGACAAGGTCATTGTATCGACTTAAGAATAGAATTTACAAAGTGATGACTTTAAACGAAATATTCTTGTTTCATCAGCTTGTTTGTCAATAACTTACTTCCTTATAATAATTTGTTCATACGTAGAGCATGCTATTGCGTATCGAATTAATTGAGACATACAAACTTCGTATGCAGCTGATGAAGGTATACTGCTGCATAGATAAGGGAATTTGACAATAAAAAAGTCATCACGTATATCATAGAGCTTGGTTGTTAGATTAAAATGAACGTCTTTGAAAGTAAGATATCGAAATATAAAACAGACTTGTTAATTAAAAGCTTACCAAGATATATCGTATCGACATAAGAATGCAAATTACCATTGTTAAATTGACAATACGTCGTCGATATATCTATTTGTAGATTTGAGGGCTACAGCAAGTGTTTTCTTCTTTTCACGCATAAGATTTAGCACAATTTCTGCTTCATATAAAAAAAAGAAATAGGTCTGCTTAAAACGGGGGGAGGGGGGGGGGGCAATTGGTACCCCATGGGAATTCCAATAGATTGTTGTTGAAGACCTGGGGTCCGAAAACGATATAGATATGATATTGTCAATAAGAAACTTAAGCATGATTTTGATGTCAACTTCAAAGCACTTGAGTGTAGAATTCGAATGATTTTTATCAAAATAACATTGCAAATGACCAATGACAAGGTTAGTAAATTTATGAGTTCCATTTTTTATTGAAAAAGCAACAGTCAATGGTATCAAAAAGCCTGGACTGTGATTAATTATAAGAATGGTAGCTGCAGAACTGTAGCTCTTCGAAAAAATATATATTGTCAGACCGGGGAGCTACAGTGCCACCCATTGTAAAAACCCTACTTTTATCTCGCACAATAAAGTGCGCTCTTTCTCGATTTCTTTCTCCATGTTTTTAAACTGCCGTCTCAAAATTTTACTAACCGTTTGTTCCTAACATATTCTTTCACAGTATTCAGAACAAAATATTCCTTATAATTGTTGTTAATAGCTATTCTGGCCATCAAATTGAGAACATCGAAATTTCGTCGATTTATAATGCCATTTTGGTTTGCAAGTTAATTTGATCCAACGCACTTCGTGCAGATTTTGCCTACGAAAGTACTTGATAGAGGAGTAAGGGATTTTTTAAAATATATCTTTTATGCGAATGAGGTAAGAATTTGGAAGAAATAATAAAAAAAAAAAATTAGCGCAACTTTTTGTGCGCAACAAATACATAGTTTTTACATTACAAAGGGCGTCAATATAGCTCTCCAGTGTATCATTTTCTTTCGGAGAGCTACAGTTTTGCAGCTATAGAAATGGTTGTGTATAAAGTTATAAAGTCATTCGTTTTTAAGAAGAATAAATTTGGAAATAATAAATTATAAAAATATAGTTGCTCGTGTAGCTTCTTCTCGGTTAATTCTTTTTCCCTTTGTAGCTATCATGGGAAATAACATCGGTAAAATATGTAAGTATTACAATTTCATATGCTTTATATATATTTCATACAATCATATATATTTCGTCATTTTTTTTGGGGGGGGGGTGGGTGGGGGTTGGTTATAACGTACTCCAACGAATTTTAAATTTATAGCGAAATAATTTCGGTAAAATGATTGATTGATTGTATATTGTTTAACGTCCCTCTTGAGAATTTTTCACTCATATGGAGACGTCTCGGTAAAATGAAAACAAAATTATGATATTCTATATGTAAAGGTAATTCTGAACTATGGTATTGTTACATTGAAGAATGTTTCATGATAATTTTAGAATTTACACAATTAATGGGACTCTAAGCAACTTGATAAAAAAATATATTTTAGTTGAACTATTGCATATATTCGTGATACTTTTACAAAAAGATTGATTGTTTGATCGATTGTATATTGTTTAACGTCCCTCTCGAGAATTTTTCACTCATATGGAGACGTCAACGTATGCCGGTGAAGGGCTTCAAATTGGGACCTTTACTCGGCACTCAGGGCCATAGAGCAGTGAGGGATCTTTATCGTGCAAACGCCTGCCGCTGACACGGGGCCTCGGTTTTTAAGGTCTCATCCGAAGGACCCACCACTTTCACTTCAAAGTGCTGAGCGCATGGCGAAGAAACAGTTGCTACCCATTTTTTATCGACTTAGGTAAGTCGCGGCCGAGAGTCGAACTCACGACCTCCCGATCATGGAGCGAGCGCTCTACCGACTGAGCTACCGTGAACGTTTTTTTTTTTACAAAAAGATGAATAAATCATAAATTTGTTGGTAAATCATGCTTTATTTCTGTTATAAGTTTATGTACATTGAAAATTAAACCGATTTCTTTTCCAGATTGCCCTAAATATATTAAGGTAATTATTCATTGGACTGACGGATACCTTGATCGATGGCCCACCAAACTGGCTATTGTGCTCCTAATTTGGCGCTTTGTCTTAGTTATAGGTAATGTATGATCACAATTTGAAATCAGGTGTTTGTAACATAAAGCTTGCAAATTTTTTGTGTTACTTAAGATAGGTCAAAGGTATATATATATATATATATATATATATATATATATATATATATATATATATATATATATATATATATATATATATATATATATATATATATCCAAAATTTAAATAGTGTCTCAGTAATCGGATAACGATATTTAAAAAAGGTAAAAGAAAACACAAAAATCCTCAGTTAAGCTTTAGCGCTTTCATATTCAATCTTCAGAAGCTTACAATAGTATCATAGTAACAGTGATTATGACGTCATGTTAAGCGGAACGTTAAATGTCTATTATGACGTCATAGATACAATATGACAAAAGTACTGGGAAATCACAAGTAATTTATAAAACACTATTAAGTTTTGGCTGAAAAATACTAATAAAATGTTTTTCTTTTTCCCGTCTCTGGATATCAGTGGCACAACTGAGTTTATAGAAAGGGAAAATTCTGAATTGTTTTTTACCACACGCCTCCAGGTGCGAACTTAATTGAATTTTCTGTATTCGGGTGTACTAATGTGTTGCTTATGTACACGTACACGGGCACGGAGAGTGTTGCCGGTTCCACCAATATAATATTCCTTGCATCCAGGACATGTCATGACATAAAAGAAAAAGAAAAACATTTTATTAGTATTTTTCAGCCAAAACTTAATAGTGTTTTATAAATTACTTGTGATTTCCCCGTACTTTTGTCATATTGTATCTATGACGTCATAATAGACATTTAACGTTCCGCTTAACATTAACATTAACATGACGTCATAATCACTGTTACTATGATACTATTGTAAGCTTCTGAAGATTGAATATGAAAGCGCTAAAGCTTAACTGAGGATTTTTGTGTTTTCTTTTTACCATTTTTTTATATATATATATATATATATATATATATATATATATATATATATATATATATATATATATATATATATATATATATATATATGGCTGAAGCGCAATCTTAGAACCTACATATGTACAACTTAAGTTTGTTTTTGTCCTTAATTAAAACGAATTAACAGTTTTAAATTTGCAGCCATTCACCGGTAATTTCTTCAGTCTCAATACACATAAGGCATTAATGAAATAAGCACATACACACATTCTTAAACTTTTTAGAGGTTAGGTTTTGTTATTTTGCACGTGTAGAGTTTATTTAGGACTTGTTGAAAACGTAACTTTTATCTGATTTTTTTCAAAAAATACTCTTTAACGTCATCATTTCATGAATTTTGAGAAGAAACATAGCTTTTTTTATCTTAAATGTATATACCAGTTAATAACCTACTGATATTTTTCTTTAAAAAGTTTAATTTTTCAATTATCGCAAAATGGAAATGTTAGATAAATGCAATTTGATAATTCATTTACATGTAATTAGAATCTACATTGATAATATTTTAATGATAGTAAGGTATATACCTTTAACTGTTTGAAATGTGTGTAGCTATCTGTGGATATTAAACAAACGCGTAGCATAATATAATTCAAAAGAAAATACTCTAGATAAACTTGTTTAAATTAGTTATATCTTTATCGAGATTATGTCTTAATGTCTTAATCTATTCAAGAAATGTCTTTCTTGAATTACGCTAGATTTGTTTAATATTCAACTTCATTTGCATATAAAAGTAAGAATCAGCGATGACTTGAATGTTATTTTTCTCTAGAGGTAGAAACAAAACAAGCCAGCATAGAAAATGACGCTCAAAGTTTTAAGAAAAAAATAAGGGAGGCAGGTCCAGTTTCAAAGAATCTTAATAATGTTAACCCATTATTATCTCTTGAAGGTATTTCTCCGTCTCTCTCTCTCTCTCTCTCTCTCTCTCTCTCTCTCTCTCTCTCTTTCTCTTCTATCTATCTATTTATCAATCCATCCATCAATCCATCTTACTCGTTAGCTACTTATCTGTTTTTCTTTTCAAATGTGTTATGTTAGCTTTAGGAGATGCAAAACGACCAATTAAAGAGAAAGATGCCCAATATGTTTGGACAAATTCTAATGAGAAAATTCCAGTTTCACAAGCACCATCATATTCTTTTGAAGGTATTTCTATTTCATTTCTCTCTTTCCCTTTTTTTGTGAGAAAAATTCTAGGACACATGTTGAGTTACGAAAAAAAATGCTGTATACTTCATGTACTTTGACTGGACATATTGTTGTTTACTCAAATATAAGATGCTGAACTTTAGCTCTCTGCTTGAGAAAATTCGAACAGATAAAGCAGAGAGCTGCAGATCCTTGTGTTGTAAAAACTTTCGATTTACATTATTTACGTCGAAGATTTTTGTCGCTAACTTTAGGTATTATTTCTTGCAGTTTATGCTTTTAACCTCTCTTAGAATGGTATCCGATAATCAATAAAATATTTAACTCCAAATATTGATTATTGATACTTTATTTACCTTTCAATGGCCCTAAATAGTCCTCTATGGATGTTGGTTTAAAAGATTCCCATTTTACGTCCACTTCCATAAAACGGCCCTTCTTGAAGCGTTGAAAGGTAGATACATGTAAATACCGGTATTTAGGAATAGGAATTTAATGTATAGTTAATTATTGGATATCTTTTATAAAGCTGGGAAAAACATAAAATATAAGAAATAATACCTGAAGTGAACGACAAAAATCGTTTTCGAACGACAAAAATCGTTTTCGAAAATCGAAGCTTTGGATAACGATAAGAATAAAAAAAAAACCAAATGGATTTGAGAGCTGCTTTATCTGTCTGAATATTCTCAAGTAGAGAGCTACAGTTCTGCAGCAAATCAAATATCTGATGTGGCGAATTTGATATTACATCATGTACATGTAGTAAGAACTTAAAATTAACGTCAAAGCTCTTACTCGATTGGGTAATCAATCTATTAAAAATCTATCAGGGCGATTATCGATGCAATACGAGGATTGTCCGTAAAGTTCGTGGACAACATTGATAATAACGGACAAACATTGACAAAATATTTGAAACTATTATTTTCATTAAATTCATGTTTCATTTTATAAATATGCAAGTTTTCAACAAAAACAAAGCACAAATAGTTATAATTTTTTCAGGTACAAAAAAGACACACACTCATACTCGGAGCACTAAAACGAAAATTCTTGACGTTACCGGCGTCAAAAGCTAAATACGGGCATTAGTAACTTTTCTCAATATAGTCAGCGTTTAACTCAATACATTTCTTATATCGTTTTGACCAGTCATAAAAATATGCACAAAATGTTCAGGTTTCATTCTTAAAATAATATTATACACTTATCCAATGGTTGTAAGTAGGATAGCTCTTTTATCAAACCCGCGACAGGGAACTATTCCCCGAGGGCTTGCCCGAGGGGAATAGTTCCTGTCAAGGGTTTGATAAAAGAGCTATCCCAATCACCAACAGTGGATAAGTGTTTTATTATACTGATGTATATTATAATTTCTGAGGTTTAAATTTTTTTGAAGTAAGATGATACTGCAAGAATAATCTGATATCCTGATGACGTCACAATGCTACTGAAATCATTATGACATCTTCAGTCATTAGAATTATCGCTGGAAATAAAAATTGGAGGCAAAGATTGCATGAAAATTTTCCTAGGGTGGATAGCAAAAACTATACCCGGGGTATAGCTCTGCAGAAGTATAATAATTAACAATGCCTGTATCATACCCTGCAATCATGCAACCACTGTCCGTGTAAAGACGATTTCATTTACGGAAATACGGCATGATCACGTTACGAAATTCATATTTTAAAGCACTGCAATCTCAGAATAATGGTTTTCCTTCACTCATGTCATTCTGTAAACTGTTCATTCCGTCCGAAAATATTATATGCCACTTAAATACTAGTGAACGACTTCTTTTACTATGTTTTCCCGATTGTTTACAGAATGTATTGGTCTCTGTAGGTTTTTTTCCGGTGTCAACGCAGAATTTTATTACTGTTCACTGCTCCACCCATTCCGAAAACGTCTCTTCTTTGAACGATTCCGATCCTCTCTTAATATGTTCCAACGCTGACTGCTCAGCCATTCTGAGACTTTGAACGTTCAAATTTTGCAGGTATGACGTGATAACTTCTGTCAACTTCATAATGTAAAATTCTTTCAGAATTCCCAAGAATTTTTTAAAATACAAAGGAAATTCAAAAAGTGATAAATATTTTTTTAATTAAAATTTTGCGGTGCTCCGGGTCTCCATTCCAAGTCAAATTATGAAGCCATAATTGTAATTAAACATTTGAAATTGAATAAATTTTTCCATTATTCAATTCACATTAAGTAAAGGATTAGAATTATGTCAATAATAAATATCAATGACACAACTTTTATTAAATTTTTGGCTTGTCCACGAACTTTACTGACAACCCTCGTATTTGGGTTTTGAAGGAATCACAGGAGCTGGTCATCAAAAATGTGCGGAAATGGTTTTCATTTGCTGAATACCCTATAGGATATAAGCCTGATTGAGTTTAAGCAGACCTTATACCTTTCATTCATGCAGTTCGATAGAACAATTGAAAAAAAAATCCCAACTCTGAGAATTTTGTTGAATTCCACTACGATCCGCTACGATCGATCTTTACCGCAATTCAACAATCAAAGTCGTCCCGATAATTTTTTTTCCAGAAAGATAATTCTCCTTTCATATGTACTATCCCTTTAACAGGTAAAAATAACAACAAAAGAAGTAAATCTCTTAAAGTAGTAAGGAAAAAGAATATAACGTTATATTTTGAGTTTATAAATAAACAGACCCTGCAAATGTATACAATAACTATAAACAAATCTCAATAAGCGTTTTATTCTTGTTGGCCCCTTTGCGGAAACCATTTTCTGCTTAATCAAGTGAGTAAATTTATTAGGTTTTGTAAGTGTATATCTTTTCAAAACATCGCCTTTAGATATTTATTGATGAAAAGAAAATTCTTGTATTTTTCAAAATTTATTTTACATTTTAGGATATCTTCACTGCATTACAGCAGACGAAAAAACATATAAACTCATGGAAGTTTACTGTAAACGATTTCTTCAAAATATTAAAGTTACCTGGTACAATTTGACAGACGAGAGAATCAAAGAATTTAATCGTGGATGTTTAATATTGAAATCTAAAGAAGAACGATTTGGTGACACTCTAACCAGTACAATAGAAACATGTCAATTTATCTCAGGTATTGGTTTATTTTTACTTTTATATATAGTAATGAAAATGATATTACCTAAGCAAGAAACAACTCTTTATAGGCGTTCCTACGTCAAAGCATGCATTGCCCTCTGAATATACAATATCATCCCGCTTCAGACAAATTTGTCGATTACTGATTGGATAAAAGCTAATCACATGACGCCCCGAAATTTTCCGTATTACGTCTCCGTCGAGGCGTAATATGAAAATCGGGCACGCGATTCTGTTCGAAGCGTTGATATTGTAAATAAAAATGGCGGCTAAGAAACAGTTTGCGTAGGTAGTTTCTTATTACGATATTTTATGTTGATTGTTATTGGGAAAAAAGTGATATTTTCATAATATGCACATAGATTTTTTTTAATATTTAAGAATCAACGTTAGGTCTTCAGCGGGATAAATTCGTTACACAGTCAGTTAGTGACCTAATACGGAATCATACAGGGTGTGAAATGGAAATCCGTATTGGGCGAGGCGAAGCCGAGTCCCAATACGGATTTCCATTTCACACCCTGTATGATTCCGTATTAGGTCACTAACTGACTGTGTAACTAATATAACATAAATATCTTTTTTCAGACGATAAATCACTTTTGCTTGTTGTGATCAATACATCAGGAGGAACACTTTACTTACCAGACGTTGATATAAGTTTCATAAAATCTAAAACGCAAATACTATGTAAGAATGGAAACTTTGGAAATCATGCCACAAATAAAGCTGCTATGTATGACATTAAACGATTTCTTCAGGGAAGTGAACAGGACGTTTCCCCCGTTTCAATCTCAAGACCATGACTATAAAGTATTGTTTAAAAAAGTTTATATATGTTTTATTCTGTTTCGTAACCTTAAACTGCAATACCAAGAAAAAAATATAAAAAACCTCAAGGACCATTAGCGTGCAAATTTAATGACAAAGAGAAATTTGTGCCTGGATTATATATCTTCGTTTGAGCCATTCAGCCATGTACATAGGATTAGAATTATATCTTTACTGTTAAAAGAATTTGCCAACCATGTGTATTCTAAAGCTAAGCAAGTATGGCTTATTTTTGCAATTAAAAATTTATCCACTGACAAAAATATTTTGAATACCAACCATTAAAATTAAAATGTTTTCGAATGATATTATGGTTTGTTTATTGTTTATAAAAATAGTTTGACAAATTTAAATTTAAGTTAAACAAATTTAATCATTTCCCTTCTTCGCCGAAGTAACTCACTATACACCAAAAAAAATATCAAAAAACATTCTTGTACCATGGTCTATTTAAACAACTCACTCTTGAGACTAACTAATTCCTAATGCATATGTTATTACGAAACGGCCGAATTCCAATACAAGTTTACCCGCTTTCCCTTCCAGTGGGCATCTATGCATTCTTCAGATACGGACGCAAAAACTGAAAAATTCAAGCCTAAATCGAGAGCCAGGTAAATGTTAACACAAAGAAAAATAAGCCTTTGGCCTTTGACATTTGAATGTTGGCGACTTAAATTGAACGCAAAAGCCAAGGTCAAGGTGAGGATCACATAATACCACATTGGTCTTAATGGACGCTGTGCAGCTTAACTTATTCTTCGGACGTTTTATAATGAAAGCGCGCAAAGGAAATGATCAGGAAAATGCAGCACATCCAGTGACATTTTATGATACCCTTGTAACTATTGGAATTATGACGAAAACTTTTGTGATACTGGGGATTCAAGATTTGCCAACAATTGAAAAAAATGGACAGTAAAATGAAAGAATAGCGAGGTATTGAAGGGAGAAAAAATTAGCAGACCCTATACTGCAAAACCATGGGAGAAAGGTTTTTGGGGGAATTTAAAAAACACTATAGGACACTTTCTTTTTCTACAGTTGCAATTTTTTTTCCGTTTGCGAGAATTTGCAGGAATGCATTATATTAAATTGGAATTGACAGGCAAGACATTATGGACAGGGCAGTGCATAGATCGGAGATGGGGGTCAGGGCATACGAAAGATAAAATGCATATATCACTTGAAAAGTGTCAAAATATTTGGATTTGTCCTTCGCGACAACACTCAGAGGGGGGGGGGGGGGTGGGAGAAACGCATTATCTTAAAATCATGAATGTGGTTGTGAAAATATATGCTCTTTGAGTGATATTAATGCCTTCAGCGTGTACAGCATTTTCTTGCTTTACACTGTACATGTAATAATTACAAATTTTTGTTCTTACTACTAGATATTATTGTCTACAACTGTTCAAAAAGGAACATATTCAGATATCTTTTTTTCTCTTCTGACGTATATCAATTAAAAAAACTTGTATTTCTATAAATCAGAACATTTATTATGTGGAACAGATTTTGTTCACTTTGGTTTATCTTCTGTTATCGTACAGAGAAGTGAAAATGTCATGCCACTACCATGATACAGCGATTAGCAATTAGATGTGTTTGTTGATATTGTTGTAATTTTAGATTTCACTTTAAATTTCATTTTTAAAAGTAATTTTAAAGGCAATTGACATAACAAAGAATGACCAAGTAAATTTATTTGCAATTGAGTGAGCAAAAATTTTAAAAGAATTCAAATTTCTATGCAAAACACTTCAAAACATTGTTATTTTTCTCACAGTAAACATTAGTATTTTAATATTTTAGTGTGATTGCTGAACTGGAACCTACATTTGTACCTCTCTACTCTACATCTTCAAACAAAAACATAGTTAAGGATAGGTGATACAAACTTTTGTAAAAAAAAAAAATTAATTTAACAACCGGGGTCATGATTCAATGAGTAAACTGAACATGTTAAACCACGTAGTTTTAACTTTTTCAAAGTTTCACAAAAATGGAATTTTAAGTAAATATTATTTGTATAGATTTTTACGGATGGTTGCAAAAAAGTAGAACTTTGAATATCATAGACGGTTTAAAATTTCTGAATATTTTGGAAAAAAGAAGGTATGGTTTTAGCTTTATTTCGCCCTAAAAATGTAATGACATCAAAAAGTTTTGAAACTGGCTTAAATATAAGTGAAATAAATTACTCTGATAAATCAGGAAAGAATATTGCATGAAGGTTTACTATTCTGCAAATATGACGTCATTAATGTGAAGTATTTCTCTATTTTCAACAGGAAAAAGCCTCAAATGGCACATTTCAAGGGTAATTTTCCTTTAGAAAACAATGTCCACAGCCGTCGCCCACGTTAAATTTTGCTATTTTGTGCAAAATTCAATAACAAATCACATATCTCAAGATCTTTGTGGGTGATGCCTGTGTACAATGTTATCTGAAAGAAAATTCCATTTTAAATTGGTGTCTTCTGCAACTTTTAAAGAAAATACGGGAAAATGCTCACGTTAATGATGTCATAATTAGCATTTAAAACACATGTGAGAAAAATAACTTGTATGATTTTTCTACATTGAATCTAAATTATTTAAATAGCATGAATTTTCAACTTTTACACCAGTTTAATTTTTTTTTAGAAATCACAGGGCAAAATTTGTATGTTGACCATACCTTCTTCTTTATTAGCTGCATAATTTGCAAGAAAAATAGGCCCAGAAACAGATGGTAATTCAGACATTCATTTTTTTGTTTGTATCATTATCCTTGAATAATTATAAACTGGAACTCACGATGAACTCTTTTTAAAAAATTCGGTTACTCTGAAACAAATATGGATTCGCTTACAGAAATGGTACAGTTTATTTTTTTTGGAAAAAAATATTTGGACAAATATAAATCGGTTGAATTAAAAATACCTGTTAATTTGAAATAATTGTGTGTCCGCTGAACACAAAGCAGATTGTTTTGATAGTGGTTAGATTGGACTGGCCATTTGTGACGCGTGGGCACAGGTGAGTGTTTAAAAAATGATAACATAATACCGTAATTTTTTTACATTCGTGATTTGCTTTTAGAGGAAATTGTAAAAAAAATGTCGTGTTTGAATATACCAGTAACAGTTGAACATTTTATCTCAGATTACATGTAATTAAGTCGTTATTTATATATTCCTTACAATAGCATTCATTGAGACGGACATTCCTACTGTTCACACGGTTGTCGTTTGTAATTACAATGATAAAACTACTTAGTTTTAAATTAAAAACTTTTCTCTTTAGTTCTATAACATGAATTTGTAAATAAATAAAGATGATAAGTTCAATTTAGAATTGATTTTATTTAACATACTTAACCTTAGTATACTACTGTGGTTTCATCAATATTCGTTGAGCACCAATTTTCGTGGATTTCGTTGTTGAGCCGATCCACAAATTCAAATGTTCATTGAATTACGAAATATGGTATACATTTGTATAGGCAATGCTTTTGTCCACGAAATTACGTATCCTCGAAAATGTCTGTTTTACAAAATCCACGAAAATTGATGCCGACGAAAATTGATGAAACCACAGTAAATCGATGCAAGGTCAGAGATTGAAATTTTTATTAAGCTTTAAAAACTACAAACCACTCAATTAATATGAAAGACAACCACCAGCAACTATTTATTTACAATGTAACATATTTAATTTGAATATTTACAACAAATAATAAAGAAAAATGCGAACAGCTTTTAAATATGTCGAGTCTGTTGCGAGTTTTCTGTTGAATTGTGATTTACATAATTGAAAGCATCATGATCGCTAATTACTTTTGACGATAGGTAATTCATACATTCTCTTTTCTTCCAGTTAGCATATCTATCCCATATGTACACAAAAAATAGAAAGAAAAAAATTGACAGGGAATTTTAATATATGAATTTTGGTCTATTTCAAATATAGAAAATGTTTTAATCTATATGATGAAAGAAATAATAAACAGAAACGAAAGCAATAAATATGTGTGCGGGTTGTTGCAACAAATAATGCAAATGAACTGTTAAGTTTATTCTTATTGGAGATTGTTACAATTAGGACTTCGAGATACTTCACTTTCATCCCTAAGAAGTCATTTCGTTTGTTAATAACCTAAAGACAGAAGTTTTCAATCTGTGCATCCAAAAATTTCTTTTGCATTATATCTGGACGTTTGTCCATGATGGATAATGGTTAAAAACCATTACTATATAAAAAAACATCAGAGTAATTATTGAGATATGATGTGATTATTTCTATATTAAAGTGCATGTATATATATATCCTGGCAATTAATGTTGATGCATAAATGATTTAAACACTCTTTAAAACAATAAATATTTTTTTAGATACAAAAGGAGAATAGTAATCCAAGACAATAAAAGAAATAATCATACTAAGTGATAGAAACTTAACATAATTTAATTTTGGTAAATCCATTGAACACTCTGATTACAAAAAACATGCTTGTTGAATTTCTAATAATATATCATGCGTAATATTGCAGTTGGTGTCTAAAACTGCAAAGTTAATCATGATAAAGTGCACCACTGAAGATTTCTTGGTATACAAATGGACATTGTCAAAGCATGTCAGGATACTTTTGAAATTATTCTGTTTTTTTCTTTTTCCCTTTCTTTTAAGAGAATCGGCTCTTCGTATTTATTTCAATAATTCTCCGAGTTACGTAATCATGAGCATTGGAAACAATTCTGTATAAATTGAGTAGACACAATGCATCTTTAACATCTGTAGGCTCAAGCTCAGTCGTATAATTCGCTGTAGGTAAGATATAAGCAGGAGTAACGTGCGTCACATCTGATGCTTCATTGCATTTTCGTTTAACACAAGGATATCTAAATAAATTGGCGATGTCGTTGTTTGGAACTACTTTATCCATATTTGTTAGTAAAATAAATTGAGGTTTGCCTAAATTAGAAAATTAAGCAAGTATTAAGAAATCAATAAAAAAAACTTGCTGAGTACCAGGAATATGTATATAAATATAAATTAATAAGTTAAGGTTTAATGTTATCTATAGATCTGAGAAATCTAATTGATAGGAATATAATGATTAATAATTTTGTATAACGTTACATTCTTCTCTTTAGAAAGGCTATTTTTCGTTTATTTCAGTTTTTTACTTGTATGTCAATTTTGAAATACTCACTTGTGCTTGTAAGTATGTCTAACAAGCTCTTAAGTTCTCGGTTAAGGTTTTCGTTTAGTAGTTCTCCATCTCTAATTGCTTTGATAGCATAAACAATGCAGTGCATCTCGTCTTCGATGTTTGGATCCTTAAGGTAGATGTGTTCATTTTTCATCATGGACATTGCATCGCTTATCTAAAACAATGAAGTCATATCAGAACAAAATATTCGTTTTATTTGTGTAAACAAATGATTCAAGAACAAAATACAGATTTTAAGTATTGAAAATAATGCAGCAATTAAATAAACAGATTTAAGTTTAAATTAAATACCTTTAATGTGGATTTGAAAAGAGAGGAGAGAGAATGGGAAAGATATAGTGATTCATGATAGATTGATTGTATATTGTTTAACGTCCCTTTCGAGAATTTTGCACTCATATGGAGACACCACCATTTGCCGGTGGAGGGCTGCAAATTATGTCCTTTACTCGGCACTCAGGGCCTTTGAGCAGCGAGGGATCTTTTTCGTGCCAGAACTTTCAGCGACACGGGGCCTCGGTTTATTCCGTCTCATCCGAAGGACCGGTCTCCACGACCGGCCGTGGGATTTGAACCCGCTACGTAAGGATTGACTCCTTACTTCCCAACTCTAGAGCGGACGCTCTAATCACTGCGCCACGCGGGCGACTAGTGATTCATGATAGTTGTGCCAAAAGTTTTATCGATCGATAGGGTAATCATAGACGAATGAAACAATTTCCCCTGAAATTTTTGAAGTTGTTGAATTCTAAAAAAATGACAAACTTTTTTTTTTATCAAAATGGCATGACACAAAAATAATAATACACACAAAACATATAATGAGCTTTCCAAAAGAAGGTGAAAAGACTTTTCAAAGTGTAAGATGATTTTTTGACTGTAAAGATGAGCTAACCTCCGAAAAGGGTCTGATATGACCTCCTATTATTAATTCCATTTCTTTTTTACCAATAGGTTGCTTGCCAGTCATCGTCAATCCTCGACAATCAAATATCATTGCTGTCAAATTTTTATCTTTGTTTATCTTCAATTCCTCTGGAATTAACTAAAAATCAGTAAAGATAAAGTATTCTTTTTTCTCTTTTCTTTATTTAATGGGCAGTAATTTATCGTGCTTATAAATATCATTTTAAAATTTAAACAGATCCGTTTAATGAATATTTATACGAATGATTCTTTCTGTTACCATCACTTACGCATACCAAATAATTTCGTTTAATCCATTTCATGATTGCGAAGTAGGTAAACGTATTACATTTGGCTGTGTATTCTTTTTAGCGCTTTTGGCGGAAAAAAAAACTTCCGCTAATTGAAGTACAACACTTAATGTTTTGCAAATATACACTTAAATAAGAACATTAAGATATCCGCTAAATTAAATCTACGCTAACTTGTTCAAAAATCAATTTCCGTCAAATATCGTACACTCTAAATAAAATACATTTACAGTAGGAGAAAGAAGTTATATTTGAAAATCATATTACTTTCATTGTTGCAGATTCTGATTCAATTCTTCTAGTGGTTGAAACATGTATCATCCGTCCTTTGTCTTCAAGAGCAGTCGCAGAGGTATTCAAAAAAGATGACTTTCCAGCTCCAGTTGGACCGACAAGCAAAATATTTATTCGTGTACATTCTTCTGGAAGGGCACCAATGCATTGTATTTTTTGGAAATAATGCTTTTTTACCTTTAATAACAATTATAACAAAAAAGTTTAGTAATTGATTGCACATGTACTGTTTTTCTAAAACATGATTTTAAAGAAAAACAAAACAAAACAAAACAAAACTCCCACCCTATTACATTTGTGAATACATGCATCAAATATGGAAATAACATGCATTTTTCAAGCTCAAAGGTCAATTGAAACAACACAATTCGGGATTTATAAGAGTAAACACAGTCCTTTCAAACATCAGAGATGGGATCAGATGTTACATTCGCTGTGTGTTTATTGTAATGATCGGGCAAAAGAAAATATCTACAGATAATTGAACGTGTTTAAGAAAAAGCCCTACAATTTTATGAAAAATTGTAGTCACATTTGTTTAAATGATATTTTTTTTATATATATTGCTGACAAGGTAATACTTTCAGAGATAAAACTTGACAAATGTTGACGTAAGAAAAGGATGTTGATATATTGTAGCGGCTTAGATCAAAATTTCAGCAAAATAGTTCACTTGTGGAAACAACCATGAAATTTGGTACAAATGTCTGTCTGACAGCAGCGCAGATCAATCTACATGGTTAGTTCGGATACAGACGTTGTTGTGTAACTCTTTTTGATGAATTAAATGAGGAGCCGCAATGGATGATATTTTGAAAGGGCAAGGACTTGAGATGAATAACAATTTATGATGTTTTAAGATCACTGGAACCATATGAAATGCATTACCATTCTTTCATGCATTCACGGGTTGTGATATAGTGTCGGTCTTTGTTTGGAAAGGTAAAAAGACAGCATGACAGGCCATGAATATGTTTGAGAACGCCAAAGAAATATTCAAATCCAATTCTGAAGCACCCCTTGTCAAACTTTTTATCAATATACTGGAAGAATTTGTTGTCATCATGTACAATCAGCAATGCGAATAGCATTAATGACGCTTGCCTTGATCCCCTCCCTTACGAACTGCTCTTGTAAAGCAGATTTGGAGACCTGGATTGCATGATGGTCATTCATGGGGTCAGTTACTACTAGTATGCAAGTGGCTTACTTTACCCTCACCTTCCAGTTAGGGTTGAGTAAAAGAAAAACGTGGATTTTTTGCCCACAACTGTACATTCTTGCCAGCAATTTTGCTTCATGTCAAGAACTACTAAACCGTTGGTGTAATATAACTTCAACTGCTTCAGGTCCGGATTACCTGACATTGCTTTATGCAGCTATACACGTTTCAGAAGATTAATTCAGTTATGTCCTTAAAACAGCTTTTGTTTGTATTTAAGCGCATGCGCAGTGTATGTATATATAAAATGGAGCTCAAATTATATCATGTACCAAGTTCCATTCTATTATTTAAGAAAAAATAAAAGTATTGCCGAGGAAGGCTTAAAATATTAGAAAAAATTATGAAAAAAGGCGCCATTTTGAAATAAGTGGCGGCCATATTTAAAATGGCTGAAACTTGAGTGGCCAACAATATTTCTTATTTCAGTAATAGTCAAAGAACCTCCATGCATAATTTGTTGCTTGTATCCGCCAGTGAAATATTTTCCCCACTATCTGCTCCGCTAATATCATAATTTTTACAATTTGTTTGACAATAGCTCACTTCTTGCAATTGTTCATACGTAGAGTATGCTAAAGCGCAACTAATTAACTGATAGATATTAACCCTTGATATATATATACCATAATGCTCGCGTAATTTATAATTATTTTCTTTTTTTTACTCAGAACTTTAATCATTTTGAATCATCAAAAAATCACTTGGATGGGTAAAATTTAATTTCAAAGATAACAAGTAGGAAAATTACACAAATATCTTATTCATTCATTGAACGTAAACTGTGGTGTCTAGCTGTATTCTTGAATACGTGAGTTTCGAGATAATTCTCATAAGACAGAGGCCAAAAAGTATCCATTTCTGCATTGAGGTGAGACAGATTGTTTCTGTATACAAACGTGCATAAATAAATGAGCGATATTTATAGCTTTCAAAATTTATTAGATTTAATAGAAATATAATAGTGTTAAGCATTAATGCATTCGATGATTTTATCAAGCTCAACTTTGTATATTTACAAATCTACTTTAATTGTAGGGTACATGAAAACGAAAGAAACGTCGTAGTCTTTAAATGAACCGATTTTCTTGAGGGTACAAGCATTTTCTGAAAAGATTTTTGAAGTTATGATAAGGAAAAAATCAATGTGTCTTTTAGATTTTCAACGTGCAGTTATCAGATGCATGTGTACCATATTTATTAGAGGTCCACATCTCTTCTCTTGTCTGAAAAGTGTCACATCCACTGATATTTTCTTTATTGTTCCGATTTTCTTTTTGTTTTAAAAATGACGCCTTAATATTCGGTTATTTTCGAATTGTAGAGTACATCCTGATAATCATATAGTTATGATAAACCAGTATATCGATGATACAATGTTTATGATGTATCCAAATTTAAAAATATCTGCCCCACCTGTCTTTTTACGCAGCGACAAATCTGCCTTCAACTCGACATTTAGATATATCGACGACGTATTGTCAATTAATAATGATAATTTCAATTCCTACGTCGACACGATATATCCTGGTGAGCTTGAGATAAAAGATACCACAGAGTCCGACACTTCTGCTTCATACTTGGATATTTTACTTGAAAAAGACACTAATGGTAATCTAACAACCAAGCTATATGATAAACGTGCTGACTTTAACTTTTCTATTGTCAACTTCCCTTACTTATGCAACAATATACCTTCATCACCTGCATACGGAGTATTTATATCTCATTTATTTTCTCTGCTCTTATTTTGTATATTTGTTTAATGGACGTTGAGATTGAATACTGTTCGTTTTTTCCATATCCTTCTCCTAAACGAAAGAGCCCACCAAACCCGCAATCTCGAAACTTGCGTATTAAAACGCACCTCGAGACATTTATATAACTACATGTATTTAAAAGCACATAAAAATGCCTGAATGGACAGAAATACCGATGGCGCTTATGCATAATCAATTTATTATCGTCACGAAAATAAAAAAAGTACAGTTATTCCTGATCTTTACATGTTCTTGATTCCTCAAACTCACGTGCGATGAGCCCCGCTTCTGTCTCTATTCATCCCGCCCGCATGGCATTTCTTTTTACATCTCCAATCGATGAATAAGTAGGTTAATGGAGACAGATTTTTTTTCACAATCTGTAATTTAGTCCCGGACAAAGATTGGTTGTACAATGTTTAATGTCCCTATCGAGAATTTTTCACTCATATGGAGACGTCATCACATGCCGATGAAGAGCTGCAAATTTTGTCCTTTTTTAGGCACTCAATGTCATTAAGCAGTGAGGGATCTTTTTTGTGCCAGCATCAACTGCCATACGAAGCCTCAGTTTATACAGCCTCATCCGAAGGACCGGTCTCCACTTCCCACAGTGGAAATCGAACCCGCGATATAAGGATCAACTCCTTAAATTCTCGTCTCTAGAACAGACGCTCTAACCACAGCGTCACGCGGGCGACCCCGGACAAAGACGTGTTAAGACTATCCTCAACTTTCACCATTCAAGCAGTAATACATGTATATAATTGTAACTGGTATGGTGTTTATGTCTCTAAGTGAACATATTTACAATTGCTTATTACATGAATTATGTTTTCCTCTTTATATAACACTACTGAAAGCAATGCGTATGTATAACTGCATAAATAAAGATTCCTGGTACGTCATTAACGTTCGACGTAATTTCTCTTTGACGTCATAAAGGCTCGACATGCAATCAACAGATTAAAAACATGTGTTGGATTTGAAAAATAAAAAGTATCATGCGTTTAAAGTCATAATAAGATAAATATAAACTATGAATATGTCACAAAGTTAATATAAGTAAAAAGGTATCATTTTAAAATTTCTATTGGGCCAAAAATATAGGTTGGTTCGAGTGCAAATTCGCCTAAAAGCTCTTCGAGCTCCACGGATTTTGATCTCGTGACCAACGCGTATTTATATCCCGAGAGATGTTTAAAAATGATACTTTATTACTGAACAAATTGACAAGACAAATTTCCTAAAGAAGACAGCCTACTGGGTATAATGTGATGTTACAAGATTATTAATATTGACGTTTTATGTTGATATTTCATAAACTTTATCGTTAATACATGAACAATGTGTTTGTTTGCAAATCACAATATAATTATAGTTACACCACGTAATTTCTGACGTCATAACTCTCACAATTAATCGAATTATTTCTCCTTAACTCGACTATGACAAGGGGATGCTTAAATACAAGAATAAATATAGTTTGCTTTTTGAAAATTGAATTAATTCTAAAAGAGGAATATTAAAACAAGTTGTTTTCTTTTTTCAATAAGTTAAACTCACAAAAACACCATTTACCTTCACGTCTAGACACTCTGAGTCTCCAGAAAAGGGCTGGAAAGGAGATGGCATCAGTGAGTATTCTGCAATACATGTAAAGGTGCAGCGTCATTATTCAAAACCTGTGTCATGAAGATTGTTATCTTAATTGCCACCAAAAAAAAAGAAATTAAAAGAACTAGTCTTTTAATAGTGTTTCGAGTTCCCTTTTACATTATTTCCCAACACATATAATGGCACTGTACCTCAGACCAGTCTTAATGTCCCATCAAATAACGTTAGACGCGATAATTTACATCTAATAGAAAGCGTTTGGCGAGTGAAAAGTCATTATCGTTGTTTACGTGTTTTATATGTCAGTTTGACGCGAGAAGGACAATAGTGCCCAAACGACCCGATTATGAAGCAAACTTCTACCCCCTGTGGTCCATGATTTGAACAATGTACAATCCTCACTTTCCAGGATGCTTAAACGCAGGTTTCAGCTTTACTGGTCCAGTGAATTTGAGGATTTTTTTTTCACTATTAATTGAAATGGAATTTTTGATCCCCTTTTGTGACCCCCTCTTACCCGCAAGGACCATGATATGACCAATTTAGAATTTACAATGCCTAAACAAGCTTCTGCATAAGTTCAACTTTACTGGCCTAGCAAGTCTTGAGTTGAATAAAGCTTTTTTAATGACCCAACCCCATTTATGTCGGTCTCGATTATTTCTTCTTGCAAGGGGATAAGCCCTTCATTTCAACAATTTGAACTTTAATTAAGGATACCCAATTTTGGTTCATATTTGCCCAGTTGTTCTTGAAAAGTAGTTCAAAATATGATTTTTTTTACGAACGGACAGATAGATAGCTACACAGAAGGAGGGGCATATAACGAACAGTGGGTTATCAGAAAAGTCTAACTTCTGCTGAAAGCTTAGATGAGCTAAACCGTGACTCAAGTAAAAGCCCAGAAGTCAACCAGATCATCATGTACATGTATTTTGACATAACATGTGTACAAACAAATTTTGCACAAAGTGTGTGAGAGTGTGTACATGTAGGAATACGTGTACGTTTGGGAATATATATTATGAGAGAGGGTGTGTGGCAACGCTCTTTGAAAAAATTCCAGGACTTTAAAAAAAACAACCAAAATGCTTTGTAACAAGGGTGTGTCTGTATGTGTATCGTTATGTTTTAGAAATACCATGTGTTTTTGCTCTTCTTTTTTCTTGTCTTTTAGTTTTAATTTGATTCTCTTTCCTTTCCTTTTCAGTTTTAATTCTTTCAAGAAGGGTTTCTCTGGGATACTTGTTTTTTTTCATGGTTTCGAGTTCTTGATTCAACAATGATATTTCTTCTTCACAAACAATTATGTCCTGCTGTATGTTTTCTTCCATACTTTTTGCTGTGTTATATTTTTTTCCCATTCCGTCCATATCTCCGAAACCTAACAAACAAAAGATGACAATTATAGGGGCTAGAAATTAAAAACATTTTTAAATTCATTTTTTGAACAAGCTACAGTACATTGAATAAAAAATAGTAATGTCTTAAGATAATTAGTTAAAAAATAATTTTAAATCATATGTATTAGTTTATATTATTAGCTAAAATGAAATTTTCCAAGAAAATTGAAAATAAAAATGCCAAAACTTACTTTGAGATATCACAATTTAGTTGCAATGAAAATAAGAGCAAAAATTAAAATAAAAATCCTATCTAAATGATATTTTTCTTAAAGAAGTGACGTTTTAAAAATCACAAATTTACAGTGTTAAAATACTACAATATGCCAAAATGATTTAACATGTCCCTGAAAAAACCAATGATTTCAATTTTAAAGATAAAAGGGTCAAAAGAGTCTCTTGCTGATTTTTATTTGTATTTTAAGACAAAAATAATCTATATGAAGAAAGTATTATTAAGCCGCAACTGTGATATTCTGCGATACTGTAATTTTTCGTAAGTTAATGATACAAATCAATGTTTATTTATTTTGAGCAAATGTTACTGTAAACTCTTAGAAAACACAATTTAAAAATCTTAAGATACATACCAAATAGCCTAGCTGAAAAACAAACATGAAAGATACATTATTGATTTATATGAACGAAGTATTATCAAGACATAACTGTAATATTCCGCGATATCTTTTCGTAAGATAATGATATAAATAAATGTTTATATTATAAGCAAATGTTTCTGTAATCTCTTAGAAACGCAATATTAAAATTGAAGATACATACCAAGCCATCTAGCTGAAAGACACATGTGAAAGACACATTATTAAGAGGAATTTAAGATTTCCAAACAAACAATTTTCTGCTTATATATATTAGGTTATTCATGTCTATACTTTTATATTGTATTGAAGTATGCATAATCTGATCATATAATCACCATGTAAAAAATCTTGAAAGGCAAAGTAATTAAAGTCTCTCAGATCTTCATCTCGTAAGCAAAATCTAAACAGATATATTACCGGGTATTTTAAAAATCTGTTTAAATTTTTGAATATAAGGAACAAGCTATAGCATCCGCTTTTCGCAGTCGCCGTTATGTTGAATTGGTGAGCAGACTGTTTGCTTACCTTTACACTCGATAGTTATATATTATATATATAATTATCGACTTCGAATAATTGATTAACATTAGTTACTTATATTTCTATGTTGACGATACCGTTGAGCTTTAAATGAGATCACCATAAATATTAACACACGTGGTTCTTATTTAGACATTTTGCTGCTTTGCATGCATGTACATGTATGTCTACATAGCCTTTAGGCATTTTAAAAGATACAGGAAAGACATATATAACTATGATGATTATACACATGCTTTAAAGGTAGGTATTACATGTATAACGAATATTTGGAACCTTTTTCTTCTTCATACTTTTCGTGGTAGTATGATTTATCGCTTTTTGCCTTATTTTCTTTTTCTTGTAGGTCCTTAATCTTTTCTTCTTTTTCCAAAATCTTCTGATTTGTTTTATTGATATCTTGGTCAAATAGGTCAACTTCTTTCTTAATGGCTGCCAGCTTTTTCTTTATATCCTTGTATTCTGCGCTCAATCCTTCGATGACCTTTCTGTTGTCCTCAAAGTTATATTCTTCGTCAAAGTTTTGAAGGAACTCATCCTCACTTCCCTCCTCTTCTTCTTCACCTTCGTCCTCCTCCTCCTCAAATTCTTCTTCTCCATATTGCTCATCCCTGCAATTCTTTCTCGAATCCATCGTCGCGCTTTTTTCTAAAAGGTGTTGTTTTTCTTTAAAAAATAGAACATCATTAGTATGAAAAAAGAGGAAGGAACATACATATACGTTTAGTACATAAATACGGATGCTTTAAGAGCTCTACAGGTGTTGTATTTCACCTTTGTATATAGTCTTATATGAGTTATATCTTATCGTCTTATCAACATAGGCTAAAAAGTTCTATAACCCCTTTCAGTGTTTATTTATACACACAGTATGGAATATATTAAAGATGTTTTAATGAAACGCAATGAGCGTATAAATCATAATTTAATTTATACAGTACATCTATCTATGTTTTAATATTGTGTTTTGAATTATTATTGAAACTATCAGTGTGTAGAGCGACGTACAATATCTTAATAACAAATGTTTTTTTTTTACAAACTCATAGAGACTGGATACAGTAAGAGAACCCTTTCTATTATTTTTAAATTTTTGAATTAATTCTTAATTTTTACGATGTGTTAGTCTCAAACATTGACACTTTCAATCAGACTTTGTGCAAAGCTGCCGCCATCTACATGTAACTAACTAGGGGGTTCACAATGGTAAACAATGGACATTGCCATTTCCTATGAGAATATGGGAGACATATATTCAGTGAGGGGCGGACAATATCAATATTAATGAAGTGAAACTGTAACTCACTTATTGCAGTTACCAAATATGTGACCCTTATGATGCAGTTTCTTTTACAAAAAAAATGCGGTCACTGAGTATCAATAGCTTTTAACATCTTAGCTCCGAGACGGACCATGAGAGCTTTTACAATCCTATCTTTGAGACGAATTATGAGAACTTTTAAGAACTTAGCTCTGAGACCTATGCGATCAATTATGACTATGAGAGCTTTTACCATGCACCTTGGCTCTGAGATCTTTTAAATTGATCTTCTCATGTACCATTTTTTTAGCCTTAGTTGTGATTTTTTAATAAAACTATAAACTTACAAAAACCTTCTTAATCCAAACATATTAGCTAACTGCGTTATATCAATAAACACAACTGATGGCCGTTAAGGTAATACCACCTTTCAGTAAAAAAAAAATTACATTAGTTGTTAAGTAATCTGATATACAATTTTTACCCATCTCAAAAGATATATAACAAGTTATTGTTCATAAACAAGAAATAAGTGAAAATTTTCATATAAAAATTACATGTCACGATGATGCTGTGTGTTATCGGAAAATGTCATCTATTTTGTTCTTACTTTTCCATGGTTGTTTAAATGTCAAAACTGCCAGAAAAATCACCTAAGACTACAAATGATATTACATATGTGATTTTTATTTTATTTCTTTGTTAGTGTACCTTCTTTTGACTGAAAATTTTAGTATTTAAGAAGAGAAATCAAGTTTCTATTACCCGTAACCCCTTATACAAGAGACACGATATGATTTGTTTCTTTTTCTTATATATTATTTTTTCAGTTATTTTTCTAAATGGAGAGAGGAGTAAGTGTGTCTTAAATGCCCTTTAAAAGGGTCTATGCTTGTAACATATCGACGAAAAGCACAGATTCATCTAAGACTAGAGACTTTCATGCCTCCCACTCCCCATAAAAGAGGCAGACATCGACACAGTTCTGGTCAAATTTATGGTTTGTTTGTTTGTTTTTTTTTTTGTTTCAGGAAGTTTTATTCGCCATTTTATGATCAAAAGTAAAACAATATCATGATCAGGATTTATCCTGCAACTATCCCTTGCATTGACCTTATAAAGATAACCTAATAAACCAAAGCTTTATCCGGTCACTGCCCTAATAAAGCCTCGTGCTTGCATTCCGACGTTCTAAAAGCATTGTGACGTCACCTACATTGCAATGTTTACGCCATGGCGTCATAGTTTCAACTGCAGAGATGTGCCTAAATCTGTCGGAAATAGCTTGTTCTGGACGTTCAAATGTAAGAAATTTGTTGCAGGATAAACAAAATACATGATAACTGTCTTGAAATATAAGCGATATTTGGGCTCGGGTCGAAAACGTAAGAGGGCTCGGCAAGCCTCGTCCTCTATCACGTTTTCTGACCCTCGCCCAAATATCTCTTATATTTCAAGACAGTAACCATGTATTATATATATATTGCGCCAACATATAAATAAAAGGAACTGCATGTTGCTAATTCATAATAATATATTTCTGTTTCCCATGAGTACAATTTTGAATAAATTCAGCCTGATATGAACACCAAAATTACTAGGTCTGCTAATAAGGTATAACAAACGGTCCCATCATTCACCAGAGAGAGATCGAGATGAACATATTATTAATCATATATTGAGTTGCGTCAAGCGAAAAGGGACCTTCGTGACATAAACGTAATTACGTCACAATAGCGCTTCAAAGACGTGACGTCTAACCTGTGCGTTTGCCGATGAAAAAAATATCATGCGATAAAGGAAATCAAAAAAATATTTGTGTAATACATATTTAAAAATAGACACGCCTAAAACTGTCTTGAAAAAAATTGAAAATGTCGCCAATTTATAGATTTACAAGTAATTTTTCCAAATAATATTTATTACACAAATTTAATTTTTGATTGTTTATGAATGGTTTTATCTGTGAGCTGTCAAAAATGTTCATCAACAAATCAATGTACCTGTCTACCTTAAGCTCTGAAAATAATCGCTTTTTTGGCCTTTCCGGCTGAGCTTCAGTCTCTACAGATTAGCAAGTGGTTTCCTGCATTTATTTCAATGTTGCTGATTTTTTTTCGGAAGGGGGTGGGGGTGACATGTACGTAACACATTCCAGATTGTGTTTCCATAAGAGAAAAGCCCGAGAATTGGCGACTCAGTGCCCAAAGTTTGTCATCAGAGAGTTAATATTAGAATCAAGTTCACTTATTCTAGCATAGTTGCAATAGCATTTTGTTAAAGCCTTTTGTATTAAAAAAATATGAACGCAGCATCGATGAACCTTTGTCTGTACAGTAGCCCTGGCATAAAGAATGAAGCGGCGAAAGATACGGTCTTCGGTATTAACTCATTAACATGTTACCTTTGGTACAACACTCTGAGGTTTGCCAACTGCATGACGCAATAAAATGTGAAGATAATACACAGTGGTCATTTTCAAAATTAATTTATGGTCTTGTTTTCATTGCCTAAATTAATTGCAATGAATCAAAATTAAACACGGTAACTAAAGTTAAAGCTGATTTTGTTAAAGTTGAAAGTTAAGATTGAAACAAGTCATTTAAAATCAGACGCACGTACATGTAGGGCGTTAGTTTTAGTTTCTGGTGACCAATTTTATTTCAGATAAAAGAGCCATTTCGGACTAGAAATATGAGCACATCTTAAGTTTATAATCTTACATAATATTGTAATTAAATGGTTTGAGTACCCCCTCCTTTTTTTGTAAGTGCTAATGTTCGTTTTTATTACTACGGAAAGGGAAGCCTTTCAAGGATTAATTCCGATTTTTATTTTTTTATTCTCTCTTATTTTTTTTTTTATTTATCTTTTTTTTTTTTTATTTTTCTTGTTCAATTTCGTTTTTAAATAGCTATTTATTTAACTAATTTTAAATTTCTTTCTTAGTTTGACCATAACCACTTTGAAAACAACTGTACATTCACCATATCCTCAACAAATGAACCAAATTTTGACATTTTTATTTTTGGAATTACCGACCCTGTCACTAACTGACTATAAGAAAGAAAGTAAGATTTTAAAAAATTTAATTTACGTTTTTTGAATAAAATCCTACATTAAAATGAAATCATTGAGAAGAATAAAAGTATACAACACAATTAGTGTCTAAATGATTTCATTTTAATGATAATTTTTCATTTTTCCCAATAACATTTAGATTGTGTAACTTGTATTGTCTTTGATTCATAGATCAAAGTATGCATAATGTTGCAATATTATTCCATTCAGATAACAAACAGCTTAACAGAAATTAAAAAAAATTGCTTTCAGTTTTTTTAGCAACTATTGAATAACTATTAAATGATCAACAGTTTATACTTTTTCCATCTAAATATCCATAAACACGCACACAAAATACACACGGATACCTAAAAATCTTTGGAGGAAAGTGTGAATAGTGAACGCTTCTATTTGCCAGATAACAATAAACAATGATAATGCAGGTAACTTCCCTTCAATAGAGTTTTTTTTTATTTGTTAACATCCATGTAGATTTTTTTCCGGCAGGTAGGAAGAAATTTTATTTTTATCTATTTATTTGGAGGAGGGTGTTGACGAGCAATAAGAAAGCAAAAGCAAAACAAACTTTTTCATTTGGTATAGTATAAAAGACAAGTCTATGAGAAATGAAGATTATATTAAGGTCAGAGAATTCAGAGAATTCGTTTCCCCCACTTAGGGAAATTTGTAGAACTATTAAATGTATACATGTATACTTAAGCAAATAAAATACACGTATGTCAAAATGCATATAAAGATTTGATTGCCTTTTATTCATTATGTGTATAGAAGATTCTTTTTCTATGGAATATTTATCACACTGTATTGATGATTTTTCATTTCACTTGCTAAATACTATCATTGAATTAAAAAAAAAGGAAAATGAAAAGTTCGGGAGTCGATTCCGGGACCTCTCACATGTGACGTGAGAGACATACCACTACACCACGGAACTGCTTTAGTCTGGCGAAAATTATATGCAAAGATGAAGTCACATAAATATATATTTATTATAACCCCTCCCCCTGGTATTTACGTTCGATGTTATCAAATTTTGCACAATGCATGGTGTCTAATTTTACCTTTATAAAATAGTTCTAATGTAATAAGAAAATAAAGTCCGCCGAGAACCTGTTTTATACGTAATAATTCCTCTTGTCCCTGTGCTACAAATACCGACATGTAATACAATAAATACTTATAAAACAAACGGATCGGGACACTTTGAGAGGGGTAAGAGAGATCCTAGGGAGTTTTGGTTTAAGTTTACATTGCAAAAGCTCAAAATCATCTTGAAATATCGCCCGGAA